TGCCTCGTCATACACCACCAACCCACTGCAGCATCGGGCGAAATTCTTCTCACCGGAGGGTGCCATCCACGAAGTGCCATGTTTCTGGGGCGTGGGGTTTGGGTTCTTGATTGGTGCTCGGTACTCGTTTGTAACTCCCCCTCCGCCTTTGGATCCATGCCATGTATTTCCATGTTTACAAAAGAAAGCACCTCCAAAACCCCGTAAGACCGCTCTTCTTGGGCATTTTCGAGCTGATTCTTCCTCCAGAAATCGTCCCATGAACGCCAGGCGGGACGGTTTGGGCGAGTTGTTGGGGGGTGATCTCCCGATGAACGCCGTCCAATGCGGCGTGGCGAAGGGTGGCTGTATGGCTGTATGTGGCACCCAGAGCGCAGAGCGGCGCACCAGAGTTGACCCCGGTAAGTTGACCTCCCCAGTCCAATCTGTTCATTGTCGGGACCATCTTGTTGGACAATCGCTTTGTCCCCCGGTGACACCATATGAAGCATGATCCCCTGCTGCAGGGGCCAGGATACAATGTCACCGCATTTTAAAAGGAACCCAAGAGCGCGCGTTGGCCAGGATTGCACTGCAAGAATATGGAATGCAGAGTCGGAGCCCCAGTCGCACACGCCGGTGTCGCCCAGCATGAGCGGAGTGGCGAACGTGGCCGGAAGCAGCATCCGTCGCCCGGAATTCCTTCGCCCTGGTTGCGAAGGACCGGCAGCTGCGAACTCGTGCTCGAGGGCCACAATGAAGCAGTTTGCACCACCCTGAGTTCTATTTTTACTTTATAAGAACGCAGATGAGGGACCTTGGTCAAAAGGTACGGCATATCATTGGAAGGAAGGTAGACCCAATGACTGTACGTATTTCTTGATCAGGTTCGGCCTGTATCTCTCCGGACTGCAGATATGTTCAGACCTTAGTGACCGGAACAGAGAAAAACGACAAAAACGGAAGAAACTTCAAGAAAAGAGACCTCCATCAACCAGGACCCTCTAAGGGGTGCCCTGTCTGGAAGCCTATAGGTAGTGTGGGGTAGTCCAGCCAGGACTAGGCTAGGCCACACTACCGGGGTGTCCTGGCTGGACTACCCCACACTACCGGCCGTTCGGCTTCCAGACCGGGCACCCGAAAACGGAGGGTCCTAGCATTGATGGTGCGTTTTCTTTCGTTGATTTTGCAGGTGGCCACTTCCTCGGAAGACAGTTCTGCCAGGCAGTGTGGCCAATTCTCCGCCATCCGCCATTGCTTCGAGTGGTCTCTTTAGATCTCTTTCTTCCCACAGCCTCCAAAACGCCTTGAAGCGTAAAGAAAGTTGTTGGACAATGTAAAGACATGGCCAACACCAGCTTTTTGGTTCCCTCTCGTTGGGAGACAGCGAACCACCAGGGACCAGGGCTGTTTCTGCGTGCCGCCACACCCCGGACGCGTAGGCTTTGGTACGTGGACAGCGGCCGATGTGCTCGCGTACTGCGAGGGGGCCGAGCCCGGTGAGTCACCGAGCCTGAAAGAGGAAGTTCCTCTTCGAGCTCCTTTAGGGCATGTCTTCGGGCTTGGGTCATGGCTTCGACCTGCTCTTAGCTCCTGGACTTCTAGGAGCTCAGAGGACTGAAAGAGTGAAAGATGTTTTTTTCTGGAACGGAACCACCTGCTGAAGGCTTGACCACAAGGAGGCCGTATACTCGGCGGCCTTCTCACCGGACAGCAAGCAGGCGGAGCATTGAACAGAGCCCGGTGGGGCCGTAGGGCCGCTCCAAAAGCCCAGAGGTTTCGCATGCACCTTAGACTAATGCATGACTAATGCACCTATAGCCCCATCATGGCTTAAATTTGTCCTGATTTTTCACCCGGCAGGTTTTTTTCTTTAAAGACAAAAACGCAGCTTCATGAGTTGATGTTCATGCTCATTCTTCATGAGTTGGGCAGGTGGTGACCGCTTCGGAGGATGGCACAGCGAAGATTTGGGTCGTGAAGCTGAAGCCTCAGGGACCATTCAGTGGTACTCCAAATAGGTCCCTCAACTCAGCAAGCATGCTTTCAAAGGTTTCTATAGATCATGACTATAACATGGTTGTGGAACTTAGACAACAAATGCCACGTAATTAAAAGGAAACTCTGGGCTCAAGTCCCAGCCATTGTACTTTTTTGGCAATGCTTTTGCCAGAGGAGTGTTTGAACATTGATGCAAAAAAGAGCCTCCAGGGTGGGACACTGGTGATGCAAGACATCAGTTTCTGAAATTTGAGGACTGGCTTGTGCAAGCTGACCCTGAAGGGGCTGCAAGCTCAGACGTGCTGCTTCTTGCCAAGCTGCCTTGTTTCCCCTTCCGACCGCATGGAGCATTGAGCATCTCAGGCACAACTTCGCAGTGCTTTGGGCGGCCTTCTCTCCTGATGGTCACTCGACCGCTCAGCCAGGGACGTGCCACATGCGGCAGCATTCGCGAGAGACTGGAGATGTGTCCTCTCTTACCTCGCACCTCCTTCGTCAGCTTTGGGTCACAAGCGGAAATTCGCAGGAAAAAGTCTTCCTCCCTACCAATGTAGTAACCCTTCACCCATCTTTGTCTCGTTCATTGAATAAGCCCGACCAATCACATGCGCATGGCCACATCAACCCCTCCTGACCCTCCAAAAACGAGCAGATCCTGCCGGATCGCCCGACCCCGCCCGACGACGACCCCAGGCCGCAGCGTCACCACGACCAGTAGCGATGGCACCCTGAAGATTTGGAACGTTCCTCGCCGGAGTCGGCCGTCGAAGGAGATCGGACGTCGGGCCGTCGGCCGTCGACGTCCCAGGACGTTTTTTCCGAAGCTCTTGGCAGGGGGGTGAAAATGGTTATATATATATATATATGTTATGTATGTTTTTTTTTAGAAGATAAGTTATCTTAAGTTATGGGTATAGATGACAACTGGTGAATGGGTGTCGGATCTGTGACAGCTTCTTTGGGATTCGACCCCGGCGGCTTGCGGGATTTCGCCACCACGTTCTGGTGGATTCGACCGCCGCCGCCACGGTCCCACGAGGCCAAGACGGGGGTTTGTGCTCGGGCGCTCAGACGGTTCGGCCGCTTTAACCCGGTAGCAAGGACGGCTGTGCTGCATGAAGAACGGAAGGATTGGACAAGTTTGGACGGTTACTGTCAGTTTGAGTTCTCAAAGACTGGCGAAGTCCAAGAGATGGAGAGAAAGGGATGAGGTGATCTTTTGGACGCACTGAGGACCGAACCCTGCTTGGGCAGAAGCCTGTCTATCTTGCCTCCTTTGCCACGGATGGAAGCACATTTGTCACAGCCAGCGCAGTCCTGAGCACCCCAAACGAGGGAAACGGACAGTTCTGGGAGAAAAAGTACTTGTTCGTAGTAGTAATGGGTGATCGTGGTGTGGCAATGGAAGTGTCCAAGAGCAGGCTTGACAGACATGTCCTGACCAAAATTCATCAATCCAACATCACCAACAGGAAGGAGTGAGCATTGAATACCAACGCAAGACAGAACTGAACAAATAGCGACTCCCCCCACATTTTTGACAGTGTTTGATGGTGCATGCATATCTTTGGCCAAGAAGATTCTAGCTTACGCTCCAAGAACACATACTATACATACTTTGAGAAAGAGAACCCAACGGGTCCCCAACGTGTCTTTCTCTCGCTCTCCACTGGCTCACCCAATGTCGCCGGTTCCTCGTCCGGAGCTACCGGGACCGGGACCGGAGGTGGCGATGCCACCGCCAAGATTTGTGACTTGGTGCCCGGATCCTCAAAGAAGCACCGAAGACCTCACCGGCCGACCCGAAAAGCGACCGAAAGCGAACAACTCGGAGACTCTGTACCAGGACCCTCCAAGGGGTGTCCAATGGACTACCCCACACTACCTATAGGCTTCCATTGGGAACCCCTTAGAGGGTCCTGGTATATAGCGTACATAGCGGCGTTGGCTTCCTTCGCTCCCGGTGTCGTCCCGCCCTTCGGTGAGGACCGGTGAGTCGAAGATCGTGCTCAGCGGGCATGACTCATTGGTCCGGGTCGCCCATGACTCATCGGTTCACGGGGCGGATGCATGACGATGCTGGGTTTGTCCTGGGTCGTTTTTCGGTTGGCTTTTTTACGTTTTGACCAGACGCTCCGTTCACAGCCCGACTGGGTTCCTCAAAACCACGTATCAGGGTCCAGGAGCGTCTGGGTTGACCTCAAGCAACCAGCAGCTTTGCATGATTTGGCACGTGCATGGTGGAAGGGCAGAGTGCACCTTGGATTGCTGCTGGAAGATCTTTGTTGACCGTTGTTTTTTGTGCTGTGTAGGTCCTTGGTGCCTCATATGCACCCTCCTGCCCACAAGCAGAGCAGAAAGAGGAGAATGGCTAAGCCAACGGAACTGACCTCAGAGATGAAACACAGAGATTTGTCTCACCGATTGATGAGTCGCGGAGACTGAGACTGAGACTGAGGTACTTTCTGCATTCTGTTTCACTTGAATTCGACGAATTATGCCCGATTTTACAATTCGCCGCTTCCCTCGTTGGTTGGGAAGATGGTATTTATTTTCATGGGCTCCCACAGTGGACTCCCGAGTGTAGCCAGGTGCTTTGATTTGCAGGTGTTTCACCTGAAAAGACAGCAGAAAGAGTGTGAACTCTTTTGTGGCAAACAAAATCGAAGGAAGATCATCAGAGCGCTCATGTGCTCCATTGAACTCTAAATCCTCAGAATGAACCATTGGGACCCATTGGGAGGTCCTTGACTTCCGACGTTGGACTTCGAACGAAAGTCCTCGAAAGAAGGCTCACGCTCACAGAGACCCTCACCCTCTGATGTGTGGCACAGGGCCGAATCGCCCTTGGTTGGTTTCATTCGTAGAGGACAACGCCCCGGATCGTGAACCACCCCGAGGTATATGAGACCCTGATTGACCCCTCTATGGACATGATGGATCCGCACCCTCCAATTGGCTTCGGAGGCCATCGCCTTCACCCTTTCCCGTTCGCTTAAACTGGCATCTTCGGCACCGGCTTGGCTTACAGCAACGGCACTCGCAGCTTTTGTCACCGCGGTGTCCCTCCGAGTTGGGACCCTCAGCGCCGTCTCACGAAGCTGCCAGGGGGCGGTGATGAAGAGGCTGTTCTGATGCCAGCATCCATGGTGTGGGACAGGGAATTCAGGATCAGGATCCCTTCTAAGATCCTATGTATAACAAGCTAGTTTGGTGCTCTTGAAACATCCTGCAACTGCCAAGTATTGAAACGCCTTGTAGCCACGGAACTGGAACATGGACCCCGAAAAAAAGAATGCCCCCGCCCCTGAGAATCAGGTTCCTCTAACAGGTGTGTCCATTCCACTCTCAAGCTTTAATAGCGATGGCCTCCAACCTACTAGCACCCTGACTTCTTTTGGAGGCGGAAAATGGACCCCTGGATTGGACTGGAGCTGGGACGCGTTGGGGGCTGGGACGTGTCACCTCACACCACGACCTTCACAGCCCAACTGGGTCCCTCAAAACCTACGCAGATTTGAGGGTCCGGACCCCTCCATATGAGGGTCCGACCCCTTTGATCTGAGGCTGATATGGGCTGATATGAGGGTCCAATGTCGCGTCTGGGCCAGACCCTGCAGGGTCCGTTTCATGTCTCGCCCAGGGTCGACCCTGCAGCATCCTCATGTCTCGCTGGGAGCCACAGAAGTCGATGTGGCGTCTCAGGTGAGGCACAGGAGGAGCACAGGAAGAGGCTGAAAGGTCGGATTTCCATGAAAAAAAGACGTTCAGATACCAGGACCCTCCTGTCGTGGTAGCCTGGTAGCCGCTAGCCGCTAGGCTTTCTTGGCTGTGATTCAGGGTGTCCATTCACCACCCCGACTGGGGGTCCTGGTATGTGACGATGTATCAGACAATTTGCTGATGTCCGCAAGGAGAAATTCCAGTCAGGACATAGAACAGGAAACGATGAGGGGCTGGAAGTTTCTGGAGGAAATGATGTGTCCGCTCCACTGCTGTGAATTCTGTGAATCCCTATATGGGACCTAGACTTCTTCAGGTCGTAGGAGATGGGGATCGATATTTGGAGCGTCCACCAGAAGCAGTTCGGTGAAACCTCTTTTAGGCAGGCAGGCAGGCAGGCAGGCAGGCAGGCAGGCATAGGCCCCTAAACCCCTTGGAAGATCCATTTTGGGCTCTAAGAACAGCCACATCCAATGTAGTTTGTGGGAGTGTGTTCGTGGGCATTTTCTTTCGCTGGGTCGCTGGACGGAGGTGCTTTGCGTAGCAGCCGCCTCTCTGTCGCCGCAGCGGTTCTGACTGCACTTTGGGCAGTTCAGGCGACGCACACGGCAGGTGTTGGTGGCCGACGATTGAGGTGAGAAAGCCTAGGCCTTTCTAAACGGGAACAGTTTGGGTTCAACAAATCGCATAGTTGGGGCAGTTCAAAAAGGAATGAGTTACCATCATCACTTTTTGATCCAGAGGCAAGTCCATGAACCAGATCTTTCAGATTGGCTGTTCTTTTGGCCCACTGAGAGGAGCAACATCTGAAATGCCCCCCAGAAAAGTTCAGAAACGGCATATAAGATGGCATAATATATACTACCGGACTGTATAGGGATCCAGATATTTGGCTTGACAATACCTATCAACTCTAAGACTCTAACTAATCTCTGTCATCTTCCAACGTTGACCAGAATTTCCTCTTCCCCCTGGCCTGCCGCTGGCTGTTCTCTTGGTCCTTTGGCACTGGTGAGGCCTTCGTGGCACCGCCTACACGCGTGTCGGTGGAGGATGCCAGGAGCGTCTCGCTCCTGAGGGGTCAAGCCAAGACCGTGGAGCTGGAGCCTTGGGATGCCCGGGAAGTGGCGAAAGACACAGTGGGAAGTGGACATCGCTGTGATATTTGGGTGATATGAGTGTGTATTTCTTGCCTACGAGGTTAGGATCGAAAGCAAGTTTAATAGGGAGATCCCCAACCAATGTTGTTTTTTTTTGGGTCCTTGTCGTTTCGCGCATGCATCATATGCAATGGCTACCCTCTGCTCAGCGCAAGGTAGACATACTAGAATTAAACTCCTCAACCTGTGCAAGTGGCATGAAATCTATGTAGATGCAACCCCCCGAATCGTCCCATTGAAAGGACGCCAGGAGGCTTTGAGGTTGTAGGACCTACGACCCTGGTGGAAACAATCCCACAGGCTCCGACAGGTGGCCGAATCGTGGGGGAAAATGAACTGTCCAACAACATACGAGAGCCAAGGCGACGAAGTCCCTCGGTCAACTGAAACTTTTGCCCAATGCTTGGAAGCATTGAGCCACTTGAACAATTGAACAAATGAACGGAGTTGAGTGTTCAAATCACTTCGAGATTCGTCAGCTTGCACCGAGTCTTCTCTTAACACATATGCCGAGTCACGGTTCTTTGTTTTCTTTTTGAGTGCTCTCATGTAAACAGGCATCATGGACTTGGTGTCCAAAGCAAATGCAACGTACAACTCTAGCAAACTGGATTGATCCTCTTCTGCAGCATGCCACCCAATCTTCTCAAAACCAACGCAAACATCGGAACGTGAAGACACGCCCGAATGGCATCTCCGACCGTTGCAAAAGGGGCACGTTGAACGGTCCTTTTCGCATAGAACGAATCGAAAACTGATGGTCCACATTCGCTGCAAGTTGCGACCACCCTTGTAAACACCATCTTGTTGTCTCTCAAAGGGTTTAGGTGCGTTTCTGCGATTCCTGCGCAGTGAGTCTCCTGCGGATGGAATGGGTTTGGTCCTCCGCTGCCCGATCTGCCCGTGCCCGCCAGACCGGTGCCTTTGAGACGCTAAAACGTGCTTCCTTCGTTCGCGTTTGACTCGTAGAGATGATGAAGCGAAGAACCTTCCGGAGATTTGTCCGGACTTCCAGGCCTGCAGGCCCAGCGAAACGAAGGGATCACGGTTCTTATTAAGACATGAATTGTTCTATTAAGACATGCTGGTTCGTAATGGAAGGGCATTGCAATTGTAATTATGGACATTGTAGTGCAAGACATGGTAGTCGTATTCCGTGTTTTGATACTGGTCACGGTCCTGCGGACCCTGTTTCTTTAATGCCAAGGCCAGCGGTTGCCAGCGATAGCATCGGCGCCACCGTGGCAGCCGCCCGAGGGTGACGAGAACACAAAGACCAGGACGTGTCATTGACCCGCCTAAAACATCCTAAAACAACAAACATGGTGTGGACGTCGTTGGAAAAGAAAGATCGAATTGTTTGCATCGTTTCCTGGCATCCTTCAACCTCCTGCCCAGGTGGGCGTTTGGGCCGTGGCTGGTATGACAGCCATGGCACGAACTAGATTGCGTGCTGAGGCGTGACCGACCACATCCCTTGGTGATCTCCCTAGGATCGATTGCAGCTACAGCCAACCCACAGATCAGCTGCACTGGATGACCATGCTGACGCAGGAGGTTATGATACTAGAATATACTAGATGTCATCTAGGCATCACATTGCATATCAGACCATTCATACAAGTCACTCCGTGTACTGAATAGGCCGGCCTACATGGACCCCCTTTTCCACCACTCCAACTGATGGGGGGGGTCCTATGCCAGGTCCCAAAGAGGTCGTGTCTGGGTTTACACCAAGTTATACTCCCTAGATCCAGCGCTGCTTCGGTCTGAGTCGGTTGGTCTTCGCCAGGCCAAGGAGGCTGAGGCGAAGGAGGAGCAGAAGAAGCCCTTCAACGTTTGGGACTGCCAACCACCGGCTCCGGTGTTTCGTACGGTGGGGGGTGACGGCGAGTCAAGTGGTTCGGGTCGAGTCGAGTCAAGTCGGGCCTCCCGAGGTGGAATTTCCGGAGGGTTCAGTCCGGCGAGTCTTGCGTCCAACAAAGAACACCTCCAAGAGACCCGGTCGACGACTCGGCGTTGGCTTCGGGGTCGGCTTGGTTGGGGCCGAACAAGAAGAGGTCTGGTCGCACGAAGAAGAACAGCGGGTCCTTTGGAGACCACGAGGCCGATTTTTTGGCCAACGCACTTTTAACCCTTCAACATCACCAGAAAACTGAAATCATTCCCACCCGATCGACTTCAGCATCCCAGGAGCCTGACACTTATGGCAACATCTCCATGGATGACGTGAAGAAGTATGGTGCCGTCCCGCGCCGAGTGGAGAAGCATTCCATCGCGACACATCGCCGAAAAACGCGACCCAGTCGGTGTCCTCTCGTTCTTGCCGTGCTTCCATGCCCTTTTGACACCTTGGGCATACGACTGTAGGCTGGTACCCTGTCGTACGTCATCACCGAGTTGCTCTTCTGGGCGATTGCCTTCCCCACGGAGTGGGGGCAGCTTAGATCTGAAATCCAGCTGCTCCAGCAACGATGGGCCTGTTGGAGCTTCGTGCTTGCAGGATCTTACAAGGTCCTCTGGAACTTGAATCCCTACCTCGACTCGAGAAGTTTCTGATGTTTCTGGAACGCTGCTGTCAGTGTGTCGCCCCCTTTCCTCCCAGAAAAAGCATGTTGCAATTGCCTTTGGTGTCTTCTTTTTCTCAATCCCTTTATCCCAATCGTTTCTCGTTCGCGCAGATTTTTCTGACCTCAGCGCATGAGAATGAGGTGCATTGTGTACCTGAACACTGCCGGACACTGGCCGGACTTCAGCAAACCTGAGGAGTCAGAAGATGCATCCCATCGGAACGTCGGTCTTTTCACCAAGAGGAACGTGGATCGGAACAAAAGCAAACCGTTTCTTTGCTTCGGGATCGGTCAAAACTCAGCCCCAACACTCCCAGGTAGGTCAACCAAGGTCTCATCCTAAAAGTGATCAAGACAAAGAGGACAAGCTCAAGGGTGCCACTGCTATAGGGCCGGGTCGCTCAACAGGAAAGGGATGCGTTTCTCGACAGACTCCACGCAGGAGAGCGCGGCTGTCTTCGGCCTGGTCTTCGCGGCCTCCAACATTGTGCAGCCCTTGGGGAAGAGTAGTGGCCCATAGAAATAGGACGCCCCAACTCCCAGACAGTTTCGCCGAACCAGTTCCTCGCGCCAAACCCGAAGGCGTTTTTCTTCAGGAGTCCCTCCCGTTTTCCTCCGGAGCGATGGGAGGGATGGTCGCGGTGCCGTCGTCGTGCGCGTGGACGCGACAGGCAAGGCTCTTGTTGCCACTCCGATTTGGTGCGGCTTTGGCCATGGCACCTTGGGTCTGGGGCTCTGAGTCCAAGCGAGCGAAGTACTTGGGAGCTGTGACTTCGGGGCTGGGAGTGTGGGGGACTTCGACGTGGTTGTTGTTGGTTGTTCTTGGAGAAGTGATATAAGAATGAATAACTAATGCATTCCTAGCTGGAGAACACGGCCAAACACACATTCAGTTGTTTGATGTTTTTCTTTTTTAAAGCTTTTTGAAAGTCTTGGTATCATTCGATTCAAAGTCAGGTCGGTCGGGACTTGGATCGGAGTTTTCTTGGCTGATTTAGCTAGGTGGACGAGAACATCATGCAGAAATTCTTTAAGCAGGAGGAGGTGCTTCGACAGCACTTGCTTTCTTCGACAGCACTTGCTTTCCTGAAGACGGTCGATTTTCTGGGGCACAGTAAGCATTCAGCTTGGGGACCCTGCAGCTGTTTTGGCCGTCAACAATTGAGGCTACTCAGTTGACCCAAACCCATGTTGTGCACAGAAAAGCAGTGATTCAGACATTGCCTGCAATTACAGTAGCTTTAGGATCGTTAAGGCGATTTCAGGTACTTTCATTATATCTCCTTGTTTTGTGGTTCTACACACTTCTCTCCTCTCTCTTGGACTGGATCCGTTTCAGGGAACCACTTCTTTTCAGACCCAAACTTCTGCTCTGCTGCTCTCTGCGCAGGCCAAGGAGGGTGCTTGAGCTGTTTGAGGTGCTTGAGCTGCTGTCTTTTTATACGCCCGGGAGCCCCGCCAGACGTCCTCCTTGATGGGACTCCGGACGAAGGGGGGGCGTGCGGGACCGAGCCGCGCGGCCGGACGAGGCCAAGGGGCCTGCTGCGGCAAGGTCTGCAGTGGCCGGGCGCCTGAGAGTCGGTGGTCAAGTGGGGCGGTGGTGGTTTCGCTGCAACTCATTGCGTTTGGAAGGAACGGCTGTTGACATGTGTACTGGTCCAAGACAAGGGTCGGCTTGCAGATTCCGTTTGGTATCTTCAGGTTCCATGGAATCATTCTATAGGCAGTTTATTTCTATCTTTTACAGTAACACACACGCACATCTCCAAAGGGCTATTGAGAATCGAAGCAAGAGAAAGGAACACTTCCTGGGGGTAACCAGTCATCGCCCAGATTTCACTCAAGTTCACCCGAATTCATTCCCCCAAATACGGTGTTTGCAAAACTGAAAGTCAAACTGCTCGAACTGTCTTGGCCCGCTTCTGCCAAGGTTTGAGGCCAGTTTTCCGTCACCAGCTGAGGAACTTGCCAAGGAGGTCTCCTTTTCTTGGAGGGAGACCAGGAGAAAGAGTTCTATGATCAGTAATTCAGCATCATATTCTTAACTATGTTGCTTGGCATAAATCAGTCATTGTTTTTTCTTCTACTGTATTGTTCTGGGCAGGTGACATTGGCTGTAGCCCTTTCTTTTCGCCATGGGAACCCGCGCGGCGTTGTCAATCCAACACGCCGCGTATCGCTGCGTTCCGGGACTCGCGTGGCCCCAGCTGTCAGCTAAGCTGGACAGGAACAGAAGCTAGTTGCAGGTCGGTGGACATGAGGGGCAGAGCTCGATGGTCGATTTTTATTTGACTCGATGTCATTCTCCAAGTATGGAAGCGTGTCAGACAGATCCTGAAGATGCCTGAGGTAGGCTTAGGGAATGTGTTCCTTACATTCTTCTCAACGACTCCATATAGTCTAATCCATTCTCATTCAACATGCCTGCCGTTCTGAAGAAACCTCTTTTCCAGAGCCTGAGAGGAGTGGAGAAAGGGTGCGCCGGTCCGGTGACGCCACGTCGGTCGACATTGACGTCGGTGCCTCGTGTCGCCCGGGGTCGGTGACCCAACACGCCCGGAGACGGAAGGGAAACCCACGGATGCAGATGTTTTGAAGCCAAGCTACGAAGATGCGATGTTGTCGGATGATATCAAAAGATGACGAAACGAAGAGGCTTACTCTTCCAAGAGCAGGTTGTTGTTGCTTCTGGACATGTTTCAGACGGATTCTAAGCCGAAAACATGGAACAAAGTGGGCCGGTATCGAAGCTCGAAAATGCATTTTTTATTTCTATTGTTTTGCATGACGGAGGCCAAGCACACCGCTGGCTTTGAACCATGAACCTTGCCCTGCTGACACTTGCTGACGCTCGGCGCTTTGGGTCCTGATAATGAACAGCCCAAGAGAAATTGCCAAGACAACCATGACACAGACGCTTTGCCGCAGGAATACCATGCCACTCACCCACCCCAATTCTCCGCCCCCAAAACGAGAATCGAAATCTTGCCATGATGAAGACATGTGGACATCATATCATGTGACTCATTCGTGCAGATCTTGGAGGGCATCAGAATGACAAAGCTTACCCCGCGCCCGCGCTTTGCCAAGCTTTGCCTCACCGCAACGCACCACAAAGCATCCGCAGGCCGCACCACTCAGAACCACTCAGCATCACTCAGCAGCTTCCACCTGTTACTCGGTGGCCGACATGCTTCTTCCTGGCTCGCCATGGAGACTCCAGAGTTGGAAGAGCAAGCCTTCTCGCTCAGAGGGCGAAACTGGGCAGTGACAAGACATCGATTGAAAGGACCAGACATAGACGTTTCAAACACAGCCGAACACCACACGTCGCCGTCTATGACGGAGGCTCCCCGCGTTAGACTTGAAGGTCCGAGGTGAAGCCCCAAAAGCTCACCTCCAACACCTGGTACCTGCTGAGCTTCTGTAAGTGCTGGTTTATATACCCCTTTGAGCTTCTGTAAGTGCTGGTTTAGAAGCCCAAGACCGTCCTGGCACACTTCCTCAGTCTCCATTTCAGCCACCCAGTTCCGACCTGGCCTGGCAGGTCTATCGTTGGGTCACCATCATCTTTCAGATGTTTCTGACCCACTTCTGCTTTCGATCCGATGTCGTTCTCACCCTCATTCACCCCGACGTGCAACCCTTGGCATAGAAACCACGGTTTGCAAACCCGACCGCTTCCACGCAGCTCCTCCACGGAGCTCGCTCCGCTTCCACCGGGAACCGCTCCGCTTCGCTTCCCTCCGACCCTTTACCCGAGGCCTTGGATCTCTCCTTCGAGCGCTTCGCCGCCCGGAACGAGAACCCGCAGGGCCTGGGCTTCGAGCGCCTCAAGGCGAGGTTCGCGGGTGCAGCGAGGTTCGCGGGTCCGGACCTGAGGAGAGGTTGCTTTTTTTGGGGATGGGGAGAGTGAGGAGACCCAAGTCATTCTTGGAGACCTAGGACTTGCTGAGCCTGAAATCTGGGGAGAGACTCATGAGGTCATTCAGGAGTGCATGGGAGTTCATGGGACTTCATCCTGAAACGTTCGGTGCCAATTGGGTCCCTCATTGGCACTGTTGGGTTGGTAAATTTGTTGCGAGTGGCGAGTGGCTGGTCAGTCGTCTCCCTGCCTTGGTGAACGACCACCTTACTGACCGGTCATTACTGACCCAACATGTTTATCGGCGCCCTTGGAATTCCACGAGTGGCGTTGCGAACTGCGAAGGTGCTGCTGGTTTCTGGAGCATCTCTGACCACAGAGGACCTGGCGAAGGCGAGCGGTGGATTTGACGTCCGACCTTTTTTTGGGTCAGATGGCTTGTTTGAAGCGTGGATGGGGTGCCTAATTTATAGCACCTTAGAAGCCTTAGAAGTTAAGGGTGTCCAAAACCCACCGGGCAAAAGGAAGGTTGTGGTCCAAGTAATCCAACCTATGACCAACAAGTATTTTCTAGTCCTCCAGGTCCCCCCCCCCGTGTTGGGTTTTGAGCCATACCGATTGTTGGATTGTTGGATCTCCTGGGAAAAAGAACGCGTTGGGACTGGCGCGAGCGCAAGGGTGCGGGGACGCGCAAGGGACGCCACGCTGCGGATCTGCCAGAAGTGAGGTCCTGACTGCGGCGCCATCCTTATGGAAGCTGGATGCCAGCCACTGTGGTGATGACCTTAGCTCACCGGAGGACCTTAGCCACTGTGGTCGCCGCAGCTCGCCACGGGTCCACGGCACTGTTTGGGAGGGAGATGGCTGGAGGGGTCAGCACTTGGTGTAGTTTGCCAAGCTCAGTTCCTTTCTTTTGGCATTCTAATCCTAATTGACCTGAACCAGGTGTCGGAATGGACCTCTCTTGGTATTCTTCAGTCATGTCACACTGTGGGTTAGTTCAGCCAGGACACCCCAAAAGTCACGGAGATGACCCATGACCGGCCATAGACCCATGACCGGGGTGTCCTAAAGACATTGTGGAGACCACGACTGAGGACTTTCGGCGTTGCCCGAGCTGGAGCTTTGGAAAAGGACACCGTGACGTGACTCCCTTGGCGTCCACGTCGCGTACGTCGTACGTCGTGCGATGCCGCATCGACTCGAAGCGCGTCACCACCAATCGGGGAAGCTGAAGGAGACCCGTGAAACGCTCAGGACCTGCGTTTCCGGGCAATGCCCTGGCGATTTGATGGACCAATCTTCAACAAGTTCTCAACCGGGAAAGCTCGAGCGCGAGAGAGGGTAGTGCTAGTGCTGTTGTTATACACGTCGTGGCACGAAGATGCACGTAGCACATTCTCGCTCGTGAGCGCATGGGTTGACTCTACTTTACAACCCATTGGAGTGAGACCACTTAGGATTTAGGATCCGTGATGCAACCTCGATGCAACCTCATATGTGACCTCATATGTGACTTCATACATATGTAACCCTAGTAGACCATCAGACTTCTCCCAAAATGGGAGCAGGATGGTGAACATCAAGACGCTTTTGCTGCACAAGAACCTCCTGGCCAAGTGGCCGGACGTGGAATGCGCCGCGTCGCCCCGGAACCTCGAATGGCTTTCCCTCTATGGGAATCCCATCACCAGTCAGCCCGAATACCAGGCGCCCAATCGTCGGTCCTGAGTCGTCGGTGGTGGTTACGGTGGTTACGGGCTGAACCCAAGAAAGGCCACCGAAGTGCCCTGCCTTGGGTTTCTTGGTTGATGTATCTTAAGAGCTATGTGATGCTATATGTATCAAGAGCTAGAAGTGCCTTCGTTTAGGAAGATCAAGAGCTATATGTTCGCATGCCAAAACTCGGTGCAAAGATGTGCAAGAGTTGATCCTTGGAGATCAGTTTTTCCTTCGTCCGGCGCCGATCATCCGTTCCTTTTGGAAGAGGCTTAGTTGATGGAGCCAATTTTGATGAGTTCAATCAGCAGTGGTTGATCCACCCATCCTGGCCAGACCATCCATCTTCCGAATGAAAGGATGTATTTGGTTTTCTATGAGATACTGTAATTTCTTGGACATGAACCTACAAGGGAACATTTGGTTGTCCTTCCCTGAGTTTCAAGCTTTTGCCTTCAACATCGAGGATTTTGCTTTCCATTTCTCTTTGACTCCAATCTGTGCATCGCGCATGATTAGCCCGCGCGATCGCCTGCAGACCCACGTGCTGAGCCTGGCAAGCTCACTGGTGGCCTTGGATTTGCGGGTGCTCACGGACGAGGAGCACCTGGCAGCACAACGCCCCTCCGAGAGCAGGCGCGGCGTGCCTTGATTCCTTGTCCGGCGCGATCGTGGGATCGTGGGCGGATGTGGGTGGCAGGAGGTGAAGAAAGCCAGAAAGCTTGGAACCATGTCATGTGACACCCCCAAGCAATCGTCACTCGGTTTTGGGTGGCGAAAGAGGATGGGATCCCAACAGCAAAAATGAGCGAGAACTACCTCCGGAGGCCTTGTCCCCTTCGTCGCTTTCCGGAACCTCGAACGGAACCTCCAGTACCTCAAACCTCTCTTGGCAAGAGCAAGAGTGTCCAATCGCTCATGCTGTCAAAGCTGTCATATTCACATTGGCTCCAATGCCTCCCACTTCTTTGCTACTTGTGTTTGTCCGTGACTACTTTGTGGACATAGACTTCAGTCATCTTCAGTCCCACACTCCGTCAACACCGAACGTGAGAAGTGCAGGAACTCAGTGTTCGAGTGGCCACATGTTGGTGTGATGTTGGGGTGGCCAAACCCCAAGCTCCCTGCAGTTTTTGGTTGAGCATTTAGAGTCAGAGTTGGACCCAGCTCGTGCCTCAGCTGTTTTTGATCAACATATCCTCAGCTGTTTTTGGACACTGTTGCGCGCACATCGCTTTCGGAATCATGGATGCCGTTGCCGTTAAGCCACGCATGCAGCAGCCCGAGATGATGCCTACAACCCATGCCGAGCAGGCAACTTTTGTTTGTTTGGCTTCGATGCTGGCATTTGTGGCCATCCAGAGTCAAGATACAACTATGATGATGCTGATGTCAATCCTCGTGATGGTTTCCTTTCTATTCAAATCATACCTTGGTGACCGGAGGTTCTCAGGGATGATGAACCAGATGCACGCGTATCAAATGGAGTCTGTGCGGGTGAGCCTAGAGAGACAGGCTCCACATGGAGATGGAGACAAAGAAGCAGGCGTTTGAGATAAAGAAGAAGGAGATTGAGAAAGAAAGAGAGAGGCAGGAGAGGGACGCTCAAAATCTCAGAGAGAAGGAGGAGAGGTACGCTCAACTTCAGACTTTGAAGCTTGAGACGGAGAGGGACAGAGCGGAGATGCAGATGAAGATGGCGAGACCGGAGCCGGAGCGTAGGGACCGAAAGCCAGAGCAGTCGTGTGTAGTCTGCTAATTGCATCTTTGGAAGGCCAAACAACTCGTGACATGCAATTGGAATGTCTCGTACGTAGTACGTATCAAGTTTTTGAGAACAGCAGGGGCACAAGTCTCACGCTTGCCAAAGAAGTACACGGTGCACGAAAAAAGAACAGCAGTCCAAAGCAGGAAGATGAGTTGATTTAAGAGCACACCCACGATTGGAGAGGAACTTGTTCTTGGTATGGGTCCCACGGGCATAGGTATCAAAAAAATAATAAAAAAAACATCAAAAAAAATAAAAACAGGATCAAAAAAAAATAAAAACAGGATCAAAAAATAAATATTCCTTGATAGGCCTCTTCTGCTGCTCTCCTGGCCTTGTGGTCTGCGGGTCCTCTGGTAATGTGGTCCCTTGGTCCATTGGTCCTCTGGTCCACTGGTCCTTTGGTCCCCTGGTCCCTTGGTCCTTCAGTCCACTGGTCCGCTAGTCCTCCGGTCTCCTGGTCCTCTGGTCCTGTGCTGCTGCTGCTACTGCTACTGCTACGCTGGTGGTGGTGCTGCTGCTGCTGCTGCTACTGCTACTGCTACTGCTACTACTACTACTACTACTACTACCCCAACCATCCTCAGTGGGCTAGAATATTTTTTTTTTGATTCCCTTTTTATTTTTTTATTGATCCCCGTTGAATATTTGTTTTTTGATTATTTTTTAATTTCTTTTTTGATCCCTTACCCCGCTACGAGGGTGTCATGAGAGGCGTGGTATTTTTTGGTCGTGCTTCGTGAAAACACGAGGCTCATGGCGGGGGTGGGGGGGTGCGGGGGCAATGACGTCGAATTCCATTCGTTCGTTCACTTGAAGATAACTTTGTACTTGCTTTACTTTAAGATAACTTCGTAACTTCGTTTGCTTTACAGCGACGGTGCTCCTGCGTGGCCTGCTGAGACAAAGGAAGCTCACAATAAACTAAAGACCCTGCGGGTGAAACATGTGAAGCAACAGTTCACGAAGAAACTCAAAAGAAGCCAACGCCCACGTGGTCGAAGATAGGTGGAACGCAACTGGCTGACAGCTCACGAAAGAGCTTGAAAGCTTGGATACCCAAGCATGTGAATACAACCTTTGCAAGGAGTCGAGCTGTCAATCCGGAACTTTTGAACTATTTTCGAGAAGCGGGTCGAAGTGAGCAGGAAAAGGCAGCGCCGCAAACGCCTAAATATCAAAAACTTTTCCGAAAGCGCTGTTCCGCCTGCAAATTGAATACATTTGGCAAAAAGACACTTTTGCTGGAAAACGAACAAAGCGCAAAAACGATGACCCTCATGAGACTTTGCGTAAACCAACCATGCAAACTAGCGCGACGCCTTCGCGACGTCCATCCCTTGTTCGTCCTTACCACAGCTGTATTCTTTTTGGTATGACATATTGTATATAACAGATGTTGCCCGGTCACTCCCAGAATTGGTTTCAGGAATCATCTACAGGACACCCATCGTTTTGGGGGGTTCCGGTAGACTTTCCCATGAGTAATCTAGACATGGCACCCTGCATTGGACTGCACGTACAGTTGGCATGTGTGACCGAAATAGTGGCTCAAGTGATTCGTGAGAGCAAAATAGTGCAACCTTTCTTTTTGTCATGGTAGCGTCCACTGGGGGCGGATGCTGTCATGGCTCACGACGGTGCTCACCATAGGTGGTACCATGGTGGCAGGGTCCGCCATGGCGGAGAACCACCTGGATGGAAATGTCACAGGAAGCCCAGACCTGTGGACATGGCACTCAAATTACACGCCACGTCGAATGGCCTGCGAAAAGGAAAAAAGTGAACGTGGGCGATCGCGGCAGTTTCGACCGTGGTCTTGGAGTGAAATGAAGAGACAGGCCTTGGATCAAGGCAGTTGAGTACGTGGTCTTGGATGGAGAGTGAAGTGTCAGCCTGGAAGAGCAGTGTGAGTCATGAAGCGAGAGCAATGAGCCCTATGTTCATGGCATTCCTGAAGAACGAATGAGGCCGGTGGCAATGGACTATCTGATGAACAATAAGGACAAGCAGATCATCACCATTGCCAAGGATATGTGTCTAGCATTCTTGAGGAGGTCTTTGACCAGAATCTGGATGAGAGAATCCGGATATGTGCCTGGCATTCATGAACAAGTGCTATGATGGGGTGACATCGATCCTGGCAGTTTCGAACAGGATCTTGGCCTTGATGGACTTGGCAACGTACAAGTTCAGGTGCATGGCAACAGAATGGAACGTCCTCGTGATGAAATCGGTGCTTGCAAGGGCTATGGCAGAAGTCTTGGAGAATGTGACGGTTGGTGAATTGTGGATTTGGTGGCTGGTGGCATTGCTGCTGGCTATGATAGTGACCGACTTGAGCTTGACCCCTACCTCATCGAAAAGGACATTGAGGAAGAGGCAGAGTTTGAAACGATACAACAGGTGAGGTTCTTTTCTGCTCAGTTTAGTTGGAGCCAGAGCCATGGAGGAATACATGCTTGACCAGATGAGCAAGCTAGCGGAGGCAGCAGAGAATCCAACGCAGTCCAATTCATGGAAATTCAACTTTGTCAGTTGGCTGAGCTTTGGTGAACCGAAGTATCAACCGATGCTGGAACACATCGAGAAGCTGGACAAGGACCCTGACATGAGCACCTACTCCACGGAGGAGAAAGAGTTCAGCGTTCGACTCTTTAGCATTTTGGCGAGCTATCTCAAGGGTAAGTGCACGAGTCTCGTCAAGTCCTACAACAATGAGCGTGATGGTTTCAAACTTTGGCGTTTCCATCAGGAATACCTTCCCAATACCCGAGGCAGGAGTGTGGCATTGGTGCAAGCTCTTTCTTCATATCCCTCGTTTGCAAAGGACAAGACCGCCATGGAGAACATTCTCGTTTGTGAGCATGTTGTGAAGAGTTGGAGACGATTTCGCCCAGCAAATATCCTGATGAGTTGAAGACAGCAACGCGGTCAGGTGCTGTGATGCTAAACTACGTGAGCACTTGCAGGTGACCATTAGCGACAAGAAGATCAAACAGAGCATTCTTGGCTATGATCAAGCCACGAAGACTTGGACCAGTGAGCAAGTGATCAAGTCCTTAGAGGTGAAGCCTCATGATCCGAATGGACCAGCCAATGGAAGTGGATTCAGTCAACCGGATTGAAGATCGCAAAGGTAAGGGTAAAGGAAAGTAAAAAGGAAAGCGCAAGGGCAAACATGGTGGCTGGATTCCGTGGCAACCCCATGGTCGTGGAAAAAGAGGATTGAAAGGCAAGGGTAAAGGTAAAAGCAAAGCCAAGAATAAAGGCAAGCAGAAGGGCAAAGGAAAGAACAAAGGAAAGCAAGGCAAAGGTAAGGACCTTGATCCACAACGGTGCAAAATATGCCATGGTTATGGACATTGGTCGAACGAATGCCCACAGAAGGTCAATCAAGTTCAAAAACAAGCTTCAGTTGGGTCAGTAGCGCCCTCGCGATCTATTCCCTCCTCAGGTGTGTCAGCTACAACCTCAACGGGAGTCAAAAGAATCTTTCACGCATCGCATCATCTTCCTCTTCGAGTGGATGTGTCAGGATGATAAGCGAGAGGTTGAAGGTGGTACCTCAACATACCACCTATAAGGCTGACAATGTAGTGATCTTGGATCTAGGATCTGATGTTTCCCTTTTACCTTTGGCATTTGGAGAACATGTTGATGAACCTACACTTACAAGATTGCCAAGGTGGACGATTGGCAGTGCATGGCGCAAGGAAAGCGTCATTGATTGTGACAGATCGTGATGGGACCGAAGCAGAGTTGGAACACAAGTTCGCGATTGGGGATGTGAAAAACTTGTATCCTCAGTCTTGGTGAGCTCTACAGAAATGGTTGGCAGATCCGCAATGATGGCAATGATATGATG